ACGCCTTCGATGACGAGCGGCTTCAGGTTAGCCCGGGCCAGGTAAATGGCCGCAGTTAATCCGGATGGTCCTGTTCCGATGATAATCGATTTATACATCTTATTACCTCCTCGGCATTTCAATTAAAGGCTGCTGCTTTCCTTCTCAGAAAACGTGTACCTTCTATTTATTAACCCGAAGGGAACATTGCTATCCTCCGTCATTTCGATCCGGAACGTCAACCTACGGTAATAGTTTATGCCAGTGACTGGGCAGTCTCAGCAGCTCTGGTGCAAGAACATGAGGGGATCTGTCATCCAGTCACCTTTGTCAGCCGGACACTGAAGCCGAATGAACTGAACTACGGAGCGGTGGAGAAAGAGATACTTGCGCTCCTGCGCGTGTTGGATCTAAATTATAACCTGCTAGTGGGGAGATCCATCCGGATCCTGACTCGACACTCCACGCTAGCCTGGCTGTTCAAGTCGGCCGGGTTGCAAGGACGTTTGGGACAGTGGGCAGCTTTACTCTCGCCTTGGACGCTGGAAATTGTGAAATGTTCGAAAGGGGAAGATGAGATCCTGGGAGTCTTGGCCGCGAGCATCACTCCTCGAGCTAAGATGGATGAGGCACTGACTAAGATCGCCCCTAAGAAAGAGCCCAAACGCCGGATCCAGATCCCGATCCCGACGGTACAGGTGGATGAGGATCTATACGTCCTGAGTTTCGATGGATCCGCTCGCGTACGACGCGGAGGAGGAGCATACAGCGCAATACTGTGGAGACTGCCCGGATGGGAAGTTGTACGGGCCAGATCCACTTATGCGGAGGGCCTCACCGTCAATGAGGCGGCGTATAACGGGCTCCTGCTGGGTTTGGATCTACTAAAGGGACAAGATCCAAAACGGCTGGTGATTTGTGGGGATTCAAATTTGGTAATCAGACAGGTGCGAGGTGAGATTGACTGCAAGGCCCCGGCCCTAACACTGTTACGGCAGAAAGTGATGATCCACCTGCGTGGTTTGTTTGGATACCAGAAACTCGAGTGGGTAACAGTTCCAAACCAGAATGGGAATGTCCCGTTCGGAAAATTTTTGCCCGTTGTCCGCTCTTTAGGCATCTCATGTGGTGTTTCCAAATGGAGGGAGAAGCCGAACATCAGGATCTCGTTACGTTGAACCTGACTTGACGAAGTGGTAGTGGTTGGATCCGGGAAAAAGACAGTCCAGGTGATGGCTGTCATTAGATCCAGAGAAAAGATTGGATCCAGCCCCCCGATCCTCGAGGAAACATTCGTGAAGAGAGTTCGCATCGAGCGGATCCTCAAAGCACAGAATGAGGAAGCGTGGATCCTGGGACTAAAGAAGTATCTGATGGGGGATGTACGAGACTTAAGTCGGGAGGATGCCAAATCCTACAGCGTTATCGCTACGGATTACGCGGTGGATCTGAACGACTTGCTCTTCTATTGCCCCCCTACGAAGAGAGTCCACGAGGATCGGGATGGATTGATGAGATTGGTGATGCCAGAAACCTTGCAACAGGATGTCCTACACCACTAACCACGCTAGCTTGGAAGGGCGGACATCAGGGCATTGGTCGGATCTACTCAACGGATCCCGGAATGTTTCCATTGGAGAGGACTATTCAAGGAGTGTACAACGATATGTCGGTGAAATGCGTGGATTGTGAGACAGGCAAAGGCAGATCTACGATCGAAGGGGAGTCACCTGGGAATGTCCGAGCGACTTACCCTTTCCAGATCATAGCCATGGATCATATTCCCTCGTTGCCCAAGTCGTTCAAAGGAAACACAGAATTGTTGATTTGGGTGGACCTGTTTACCGGATATGTGATTGCCAAAGCTAGTGCGTCTAGAACTGCGCAAACCATTGCGGAATCGTACGAGGAGTGTGTTTTCCGAAGATTTGGTGCTAGCGAAATGATTAGACATGATCGGGAGCCAGGCTTTATGTCTGATTTCTTTCGAGCATTCAACCGGATCCTAGGGCAGCGACAGCGAGCAACCATGGCGTATCGTCCCCAAGCTAACGGGTCGGCCGAAAGCATGTCGTCAACATACACCGAGAGCAACACGGTGACTTCTCCTCCCACTTTTCTGGTGTAGGGTCCGTAGTCAGAGTCGAGGTGCTCGAGTCCATGTTTGCTGACGCGACCAGGGAGTCCAAATTGAAGGAATTAATGAGCGCTCCGACTCGAGAGTTTCAGAATAACTTCGCTAGGAGGAATCTGAAAGCTAACCGGACCGGTGAGGACGGAGAGAGAGTGAATATTCCCAGCATTAACAAGATCGCACAAGTGTTTACGTCCAGCAAGACTAAAGAGCTTCAGGGTCTACTCAAGGCAGATAAATCGCTCGGAAACGCCTTCAAGACGTTAGGGCTAAGCAAAATGGCCATCGGCAAGAACAACTTTATCGAGACGGATCTGGTGGCTAAACTCTTTTCGAGCCCCAACTTTAAAATTTGGGCTCAGCATGCTACTTACGTCAACAAACAGGACCCAGAGGGCGCGATGCTTGCCGCTCTGACGAACGTCTTTGGTGAGAAAGAAGTGGCGACGATGATTTTAGTGGGGAAGCTTAGAAGGAGATCAAAGGGTATTGCCCAGAAGCTGGAGACCGCACAGTTCAACAAGTGGTACTCGAAGGGGCTTGCAGCAGACGACGTTTTCTGGCAGGTTCTGAAGGCGAATCGAGACAGGATTCATGGCTACCCGCGGCTCATGGGTATTTGGGAGGACTACTCGAAATATATCATCAAGAGAGTGGTGAACTATTAGGAAACTTTAAGATCTCTTCAATAAAGCTTCATTTCTTTTATTCTTAGGTTTTTGTAGCAACCTGCAGGTTACGGCGATGAAGACAGCTGACCACGCAGGACGATAACCCCTTCGCCCTTCAATAGAACGCGACCCGGTCCAGCCGCCACGAGGTCCAATGTGATGTATCCACCTCGAACAGGGGTGAATTGCTGTGCTTTGATAGTCGTCTTCTCGAGTAGTGGGGCCCAGTACGGCCCAAAGGCGCAATGCGCACTACCCGTGACCGGATCTTCGTTCACCCCACCACGAGGAGCAAAGAACCGGCTTTGGATGTCCACGTCCAACGCATTATCGGCGGGCGCTTTAGCAGTAACAGCGACACCGCGTGCGTCATACTTGGCCAGTTGCACAAAATCCGGCACGAGCGTCGTGAAGCCTTCAGATGTCACACGAACGAGTAGATCTGTGGTCGCTCGCTTCACGTCAACGATGACATTTGGCTGAATGCCTAGCGCAGAGGCCAGCTCCTTTAATACCACAGTAGGCCCTGCAGGCGTCGTGGGTTGTTCCGGGAAGTCCATCAGCACGTGCACCTTCTGCGACTCACTCTGCACCTCAAAACGACAGACCAACACCCCACTCAACGTGTGGAAGTGAAGCGTTTGGCTCAAAGTCACGTGACCTGCATCGTGTAATGCAAAAGCCGTCGACAGAGTGGCATGTCCACACAGTTTCACCTCAGTGCCTGGCATTCCATAAGAAGCCACAGCGTTAGTACACAATAATATCCTAGTTTTCTCGATTTTGTGTCGTTACCTGGAGTAAACCACCGCAGATCGTACTCGACGACGTCATTAGCAGTCTGGGAAGTACGTGCGCGAGGAGCAGCATAAGCTGTTTCACTCAGGTTGTTCTCTATCGCCACACGCTGCATCCATTCTGAAGCCCCTGCCTTGTGGTACACTGCAGAAGTGAGCAACACCACAGCCGCCGGGTTGCCCTGAAAAGGCTCGCTGGAAAATGCGTCCACCTAAGAAAAAAAAGTACCAGGCACTCAGTATTGCCATAGAATATACGATTCAGCGATGTATCCAACCTGAATCAGTGGCGGTAGTCTCGCTTTCTCGCAGTCCAACGACAGTTCGAGCCACGGATCTTGGCCGTGCACAACCGGCGACAGTCGCGTCACGGAGAACCCGCAATTCACATAGAAGCCAACTAAATTGGCCTTGGAGATGAGCATGATGCGCTTCACGTGAGGCTGCGAGTCCAGAATGACTTCCACGTATCGCTTGAGTAGCTGCGTGGCGAGTCCCCGACGTCTAAAGGTCTGATTCACCACCACCGAGTGGATACAAAGCAGCGATCCGTGTGGGTCGTGTCGACTCATGGATTCGCCATCTAGCTGATATTTGGCTGTCAATGTGCCGTTGACAAAGCCTACGAGGGTCTCGGATTCTTGGTCGTCTTTGGGGAGGTAGGATACCCAGAAGAACGGACCGGCGTTTTTCTGTCGGAATCGTATGCCCGACTCAGTAGCCGCTTCGTCAGCGGGATAAGAAGCAGCTTCCATCGCAGCGACACGACGGATGTCATCTTCTTCGGTCAGGGGAGCGAGGCGGAGGTGGTTTAACGGTGACATATTGAAATGTGCAATGACGTTGAGTGTTTGATTTATGCGGTCCTGAAATAGCAACAAGTCTTCATGCTCTTTTGTTTTTTGAAAAAGGGTTGTGCTCTTTGGCATGAGCTGCCAGATAAGGGGATTACTAATATACTTTTGCTGATTAGATGACATGTGTATTTAAACCGTGCTACATGTAGTACTATTCCGGTATCAGAGTAAATGTAGATACCGGTATATTGCTTAAGAGCATGAGTGATGGTCATTGTTGATGAGTGGCTGATGTAGCTTGATAAAACATTAGTCTAAATCTCGATGACTCAAAGAGGGTATTTAATTGGATAAATCGAGATTTGTTGTGACGGGGTCACACAGCACCCTGGAAATTCGCTTCCGAGAGTATACAAACTCTCAGTGAGCGGCAGCTCACAGGTCCCCTTTTACCAAAGGGAACGAAGTGACCAATTTAAGGTAGATTGTAAACTGAGTATATTTAAAGGTAAGTTAAGCTTGAGTTAAATACAAACTATAAGTCACCTATAGAAAAGCAATGTCATCAGCCAATGGTTCGCTTTGAGACGACCTTGGTACTGTACCTTGTACCAAATATCCCGAAGTATGACATGTCATACTTCTGAAGTGTGACGTCTCACACTTCATGTACTGTAGCTAAGTGTACACCGAGGGCTACGTACCCCGTTACATCCTCCCCACTTAGGTTCGGTTTACCGACCAATCAGAATGAAGAAGTGTACGTCACAAACTTTCATTCTCAAAGTCGAAAAACATCGACTTGGCCGCGCGAGCGCGGCGGAGGCTCACTTCACAGTTAGAGCCTCGAGCAGCAGTCTGTGCGCTCCTCTTCTTGGTCTCCACATCGACCGTTTCCATGCCCCTTGGCTCTGCGAAGAGCGGTGCGAAGACACGATCCAAGGTCGCTGCCGGAAAGACGCAAGCCAAGAGCACCAAGCCTCACGGCAAAGGCTCGGCACTCAAGAGGCTATTAAGGTGGACTCCGAGGCGATCGGCTCAACTGGTGGTGCGGCTGTGGGCAAGCGTACGAGCAAGCGCCGCAGTCCGTCGCCCTCAGCCTCCCCAGACAATCGTCCGAGCTCTCGGTTCGCTGAACGTGAGCTCGAATCTGGCAGTGAGGACGAAGCCGAATCCGAGAGCACGCACGATGCTCCTGTGGGCTCTACGGGAGAGCACAGCCTAGTGCCCAGCGAGCTCAAGGATGACAGCGTGCAGTCGCTCTCTAGTGACACGGTGATCACAGTCCCAGGACGTATGTGCGCTCTGAGAGGCCGGCCGTCAAGACTAAGTGCACTTCCAAAGCTGGCGACGGCGAGGAGGGGAACCTCGCAAACATCTCTCGCTTGCCGAGTGTCTCGCGCTTGCTAACGCTGCGAAAGCCGAAGGCGTTAAGCCTTCTAAGAAGCGTACGACTTCGAAGTCTCCACTCCGCGAGGAGAAGGAGACTGGGTACACCAATCGGAACCTCTTCGGTTCCTCGGATGAAGAGGACTATGAGGAGGAAGAGGAGGAAGCGGGTGCTATTCCTAAGACCCGGAGGATCCCTAACGACCTCGATCAGCAGCAGGAGGACTTCCAAGCTGCCCAGCGTATGCGTGGAAGTTCGGTGGTGGCACCCGTCAGCCAGGGAGCTGTCATCCACTCAAGAGGGTATTGGCCTTCCGAGGAGAGCTCTGGGGCTGATCACTTCCTAGAGCCTTTCATCGCTCATCATGGTCGTGTGGGCGGCCTCACTTCTAGGGGCATTTACGAGCGTGCCCTTGTTCAGAAGGAACAGTTGCTCGTTGACAGCTTGGAGGCTGCTCAATGTGTGCTTCGCGCCACACCGCATCCAATTGAGGACTTTACGTAAGAAGCCCGAGAACCGGGGTGGTCTCTATCCTCTTTGGGGATACCCCTGGGTTCTGCCCGAGAACTGTCCCACGTGGAGTTCTTGTGAGGACATGTTCTGGGCATGGCTGGAGTCTCTCAAGCACTCACCCTCGAAGTTACGGGAACGCCATGAAGATCAGCTGATGTCCCGCATCCTGGACCAGCGTGATCTTCGTGTTCGGTTTGCCCACTTGGCCAGCAAGCGCGTGCTGCTTAGGGACATCCGGATGCGCGCGGCTTCCACTGCTCACGATGAGCGCGGGTACGGAGTGTATTCTACGTCCGTACCCCGTTCGGGCAAGAAGCCCCGGACTACTTATAAATCTGCCGCTGCTTCTGTTCCCAGATTGCGACAGCCTTCGAGCGGTCAATCAGGAGCCGTTTAATCGGCTCCCACGAGTTCTCGGGGTGGGCATAACCCCTCCACTTCACGAGGAGCTGTTGCTTACCGCGACGCCGTTGCTTCTGAAGGATCCACTCCACGTGGTAGTGGACTTCTCCATTCCGGTCAAGCAGGGGCGGAGGTGCCCTCGTACGAGTACGAGTACTCGGCACCTCCTGAACGTCACTCTCATCCGAGTGTTTCTCCTGCGGGTCCGACACAGGGCCCTGAGGCTGACCGCCTTCGTCAACGTGTCCTCGTGCTTGAGATTACACTTGGCCTTGGGATCGTCGAGGATTCTGCCGCCAGGCCCGGAATCAGGGCGGGCTCGCTCATCTTGCGGGTCGCCTGGACCTGCTGGAGCGTGAGGTCGCGAGCCTGCATCTGCGGGTGGATCGACGGGCCTCTTCGTCCGATCTGGACGAGGCCTTCCGCATATGATCTGACGTATCGAAGCTCTTCTGCCACGTCCGGAGCCGCCTTCGGCGCACTTCCAGTTGTACGCATATGGTGCGTACCCGGCGTACGCAACGTACTTGGCGTATGGCTCTGGTGTCCGTTCATACGGAGCCCCTCCTGCGTACGGTCTTCACCGCAGCTTTGCCGTTCAGACCGAGGCTTGGGTGCCTGGTCCAACGCCTTCGTCGACGTCTGTGGCCGGCCCTCGCTTCAAGGAGCTGGTCCTAGGTGGGTCTGCGAGTCGGCAACTTCCTGTGGATCATGATACCGCTTAAGACGTCCAACGTAGAACGTCTGGTGCGTCTTCATTTACGTGGGCAGATCGATGGTGTACGGCGGATCATGCCTGACCAGGCCTTCGAGCGGTTCAATGAAGCGCTGCATCAGCTTGTTGCTGCCGACAGAGCTTACAGTGTCTAGCGATAGGTTCCATGGGTTCAATATCACTTATTCACCCTTACTTAAAAATACAAGTTATTTTACTGTTCCATGTTTGTCGAAGGACTCCTTCTGGCAGTCCTGGGCCGCTGCCACGGCATCGTTGACCCTGCTGATCACGCTCAGCTTGGTATCCACAAAGGATTACACTTGTTTCGGCAGAAAAAGCGGTCTTTCCCCCCATGTCTCAGATGTGAGACATGGGGGGAAAGAGTTTTCCGAGCCTCTCCCCCACTTAGAATAAAGGAATCAGAGTCTCCTCGAAGCGTGAGGGGCACTCTGGGGTGACAGAAGCCGTTCAAGTAGGACGGCGTGAGCCTAGAGACGCGTGCACTGCGTTGTTGAGCGCAAACCCAACAGCTGAAAGCTGCGTCGACCACGTAAGTGGTGCTTCTGCGCACACACTGCGAGGAGTGTCGTCGAGCACTAGATTGACGCGCTCTGTCTGGCCGTCTGTCTGTGGATGGTCCGCAGTGAACATCTGCGGACGGGTTCCTAATAAAGGAAACAGCGTTTTCCAAACCGCAGCCGTGAACCGCGGGTCTCGGTACGAGACAATCGTCTCCGGGAGGCCGTGATAGCGGTGCACGCCATCGACGAACAACCTTGCGGTTTGTTCGCCCGTAACAGTAACGGGAACCGGAGCAAGATGTACCATCTTGCTCGGGCCGACACACGAACACCATAACTCCGGTGTTGCCGTGTCCGTCGGCGGAAAGCCCAAAGATGAAGTCAAGGCTCATCGACTTCCAACAGTCAGCCGGTACGGGCAGGCTCTGTAGTGGAGCCGAAGAGTGCTCTGCGGGTTTGACCCGCTGACATGTTTAACATGTCTTCACGTATCGGGCGACCCATGGGTCCACCAGAAGGCCTGAGAGACCGACAGAAAGGTCTTCTCGCGGACCAAGTGGCCGCTGGAGGGCGCTTCGTGCGCCTCCGCGAGGATGTCGAACTTCAGATCCTCGTCGTTGGGTACGACCACCCTTGGAGGTTCATTGGGCTCCACCCGGTAGTAGAGGAGGTCATCCTTCAGCTCATATCGGTGGAGCCGTGAGCACTGTCGCGACGAGAACCAGTCGGACTTCGCGCTCGCTCCTGCCGTGAAGAACTGGACGATAGGCACGACAGCCTCATCGTCCCGATACGCCATGCGTATCCGATCATATAGATCCGTTGTCACCCGTGTGATGTGGGCCAACTCGTAGTCAGGACGCCGAGAGAGGGGCGCCCGCAAGCACGTTGAGGTTTGCCCGGCTTTGATTTCCACGGCGGAAACTTGGAACTCCCGGGAAGAGAAAGCCCACCTCGCCATCCTTTGGGAGAAGGTGAGGCGAGTTAGGCCGCCTCCTCAAGGCAGCGTGGGCCGGTGAAGGACGTATGGAAGTATCCCCTGTGAACTAGCGTGGAAAGAGTAGGTTC